ATGCTTAAAAAGAGGTGAATCTGGAGAATCTAGGTAGAAGAGGGTAAAGCTCAAGTCATTGAGATTTTAGCCTTAAGAACAGACTAAACAGGAAGTGCAAAGAAATCAATAACATTGTCTTGGCCATGACACTTTCAAATTAATTGGTGGACTATATGTAAGTAAATAGGTAAACTATGCTGATCTTTTATAGTCAAGTTTTTCATTTTTGTATTTTCTAGGTTTTGTACTATAATAAATCTTATTTGCTAAAAGAATGTTTAAAATGTATGTATTATATATATATTTTTTTAATTATTAATTGCACTCTGAAGTTGTTTGTAGACTGTCACACTTTGTAATATTTAAAAGTAAAGTGTCTTTAATTAAATTTACCGATATGAGCAAAATGTTTGGGGAGGGATCGGATTGGATTGGATTTTTCTTTTTAAAACATTCAAACAAAATTTAATGCATTTGATTTCGGATGTTACCAAAATAAATATTATGTGTAATCTTAGATCTAACCTACCCTATATTAGTTCAGAAACAGCAATGGGTACTAAATAAAATAAGATTAAAAGACGCAAATCTCCTTTCTTCCCATTTGGATCTCTACCTTTAATTCGGCTCCTTTCTTCCCATTTGTACCTCTTTTGGGTGGGATAGACTGTCACACTTTGTAATATTTAAAAGTAAAGTGTCTTTAATTAAATTTACCGATATGAGCAAAATGTTTGGGGAGGGATCGGATTGGATTGAATTTTTCTTTTTAAAACATTCAAACAAAATTTAATGCATTTGATTTCGGATGTTACCAAAATAAATATTATTTGTAATCTTAGATCTAACCTACCCTATATTAGTTCAGAAACAGCAATATGGGTACTAAATAAAATAAGATTAAAAGAGGCAAATCTCCTTTCTTCCCATTTGGATCTCTATCTTTAATTTGGCTTAATAAAAAAATAAAAAAAAAAATGAAAACAATGAAAGAAAGAAAGAAAGGAGGAGAGGGAGTATCTCAAATATTTTGTAGGGCTGATAGTAGTGAAATTTTAACTTTTAAATGTTAAACTTAGACAATAAAATTCTACTTTCATTAATGTTAGTTTATACAACAAAATTTTAAAAAATTAATTTGATTAAAATTTAATAATTACATAAAAAATTATAAAATTTAAAATTTGAATAATTTTGGCAAGGGCTATTTTAGCTTGTTTTAGGCTAAAATCCACAAAAAGACAAAATAGGCTAAAAAAATTAATAAGACAAAATATCACATCAAATTTATAATCATTTCACTTTTTCTCTCATAAACAACACATTCAACTAGAAAAAAATTCAACTATCTTTCTAAACACAAAAATTTTAACCTATTAAAATAACTAAAAACTAAAATAACATACTAAAATAGCAACTTTTCAAACACCCATGTTGTCTATCCAACCCAACATTTTAACAATAAACTCTTATTTTTAGCGAACCCGCTACAGAGCTCGAATTACTCAGGCTCGAAGTTGGCTCGAATTTTAAACGGCGTCGTTTTTGTATTTTTTTTTTTTTTCAGACGCAGAAATCAGGAGGAAGATGGAGGGGAGAGGAGAGGAGAAGGAGGAAGGAGGAAGGAGGAGGAGGAGGAGGAGAAGGAGGACTGGAGGGGGCCCTAATAACAGGGGAGGAGGAGGCAGGGCCGGAGGCGGGACGGCGGCCGGAGCTGGAGCTGGAGCTGCTGCCTACGACGACGAGCGGCTGCCTACGACGACGAGCTGCCTGTGACGACGAGCTGCTGCCAGCGACGACGACGAGCTGCCTGCGACGACGAACTGCTGCCAGCAACGACGACGAGCTGCCTGCGACGACTCTCGCCTCTGTTTCTCGTCTCTGTTTATCGCCTCCTCTGTAACAGAAGAAGGAAGAAAAAGAATGAAAAAAAAAAAATCGATTTCGAGCCAGATTCGAGCTACACATTTCGAGCACTCAAACATTTTCGTATTTTTAGTTTAGAAATTATTTGAGATCCTTAAATAGAATGTAGGAGTGTATAGGATTTCAAAAATGAGTTTATAGAATTACTCATTAATTTTCACTAAAATCTCCCAAATTTTTAATGGGATGTTCACGAGATAAATTCACCTTTATGTCCTCGCTTTATATCTATTCATATTCTTTTCATGGGTCTCATATTCTTTTCATAGTAAAAATTATAAATTTATCGAACAATTATAAATACATAAATAAATAACACTTTGTTTTATAAAATGAATATTTTAAATTTATTATTTATTTTATAAAATAAAATATAATTTATTTTTATGTTGATAGATGTTCGATTTTGATCCTGACTATGCCCTGTTTGGTAAGGCTGTAGAAAAGTAATTATAGATTATAACTTAACAGATTATAGCTTATAGCTGTAAACATAAGCTGTTAATCTGTTTGGTACAGCTGTGAGATTATGGATTTAAGCAGCAGAGTAGTGTTTGGTTAACAAAATATAAAATAACTTTTTGTTATGTAATTGTCCTTTTTGTTCTTATATGATATAAAAATGATTATTTTGTCATTTGTTTTTTCAGTTTTAGTTTTTTTTAAAATTATTTCATTAATAAAAGTTAATATAATTAGTATTACAAAAATTATTATTTTCATTTCTTCATTATAAATTAATTAGTATAAAATTAATTATTTCATTATAATTTAATTAGTCTCAATTAATGGCTTATTTTCATTTGTTCATTATAAATTATTTTTTTCATTTTTTTATTATAAATCAATTAGTATAAAATTATTTCATTATAAATTAATTAGTGTCAATTAATGGCTTATTTTCATTATAAATATTTTTTTTTCATTTTTTCATTTTTTCATTATAAATCAATTAATACAAAATTATTTCATTATAATTTAATTAGTCTCAATTAATGGCTTATTTTCATTTGTTCATTATAAATTATTTTTTTCATTTTTTCATTATAAATCAATTAGTATAAAATTATTTCATTATAAATTAATAAGTGGCAATTTATGGCTTTTTGTAATCAATTAATACTAAAATTATTAATTAGTATTAATTAATGTAAAATTTATTTTAGTAATGGCACACTTGTCATAGCTTGAAATTATGAGGGGCATTTAAGTCATTTTGCCCCTCAAATGGCAGCTGTGCGCTTAAACTGTTTGGAAAAGCTTCTCCTGTCTCACTTAAAGACAAAAGCTAATTTTTGACTTAAAAAAAGTTATAATCTGAATCAAATATATCAAAATAGCTTAAATAAAATTAAAAATTAAAATAAACTGAAAATAAGCTTGCCATTTGCAGGAGCTTATCCGGCTATTCATGTCACTCTCTCTCTACCATTCATCTGCAACACCCTAGAGAGAGAGAGAGAGAGTTATTTTTTATGGGTTTGTAGGGAAGGTTGAAAGTTAGGGGTTGTTTGGGGTGTGTGCACTTTTTATCTTTTTAGACTAAAAAGTTGAGCGAAAAAATATGAGTTACTAAGAGGGGGTTCATATGAGTTACAGAGTAAAATTTTACTTTTAGTTTCAGAGTCTCACAGTTTACTCATTTTTCAGAGTAAAATTTTACTCTGAAATACACAGGCTTAATAGGAGAGCTGATAGATATGAGGGTAATATAGTAATAGAAACAAGTTTTACAATATTAGGGAGTTTTGAAAGTACTTATATAATTCTTATCATTTTGAAAGACAAATTAGATAGTGAAGGGACTATCACCAAATCCCCCTTCTAAAAAACTCTTGACAAAAAATAGAAAACCATTTGTTGGAAATTTACAACTGTTTACCAAGGTTGTTAAAATCGAAATTCTACGTTGGATCGTTGGAGGTATTTATAGGATCGGATCGTAGAATCGGATCGAGGATCGTAAGATCCTATCAAAAAAGACAAATTATATAATAATTTAATTTAAATAAATATTTTTTATAAAGTATATATAAAATGAGCCTATATTCTATTAAAAAGAAGTAAAGATATTATGAAAAATATAATACTCCATGTAAAATGTACATATAATATTATACAATAGAAAATTCGGTGGTAAAAGTTTTGTATTTCATCAAAAAAGAAGGTGAAAAAGAAGAAGAAGAATTCTATAACAAAATACTTTACAATCTACAATAATGCATAAAAAGTAAAGAAAAAATATTTAACAAAGTTGGATATGAAAATAGATTAAGAACTCAAAAGAGTAGCTTAACCAAATGATAAGGTTTGTTGTTAGCATCCTTGGTGGAGTAGATTCAAGTCACAAAAATAATCTCTTGTAAAATTGGGATAAAGTTGCAATCCTCTTACCCTCCTTAGACTTCACTAAAGCTAAGTTTGTTTTTCCGACTATTTAATTTTCTTAAATTACCACAATATTTGAATGTTTATTTCCTAATTTGTTTTTCTTAGTCTATTTGATTCAATACTGCTTAATTTTTATTATTTATTTTGACCACATAAATTGGTATGTAGACAACAAACATAAAATTTACAATAAAATATGTCATACAATACAAAATAAGGCTTGTAAATTGGATCGGATTCGAATCGGGATTCCACGATCCTATAAGATCTTACTACCAGGATCGAAAGATCCTACCTATAAGGAGATTTTTACACGATCCGGATCGATTGTACTCAAATAGATCGTAATATCCAGATTGGGATTCTGATAACTATGCTGTTTACCTTAGTTCAACTTTAATTTTGCCTTGCCATTGTATTCTTCTTGTGTATCCACATAATTTTTTGGGAAAGAGCTCATAATTAATTACATGCAGTTACTACAACATCAGGTTGAGGTAACTATATTTATCTCGACATTGTTTATTGTCATTTTATGTCATTCACAGTGGTCCCACTGTAGAAGCTGATTCTTTTTTCCTTTTTTTTTTAATCACCCTAACTTGGATTTGATAGTTCTTGTCAATGAAGCGTGATGAAATTATTGTGCTTATGTTTTAAAATTATTATTGTTTTTATGCCTTACTATAATGCTTATGTTTTTAACTCATTGTTATAGAAACTACTACTTGTCATTGGAAAACTGATGGAAGCTGTTGTTGCAAAAGGTGGTGATTCTGTTCATTATGGAAGAGGGTTCAATTTGGTCCAAGGAGGAACTACTGGTAAACAGTAACCTGATTCCTTATGATATTATATCTGAAGTCTAGGTTAAAGATAGATTTTTTCCAATACGTCTTTTAGGAGGTGTTGCCATTGAGCACCTTGTATCAAATTAGCTCTTCCGTACTTGCTTGCTTGAAGTTTGATAGCTTCATTTAATTGCTTATTTTCTGGAAGTTGGAGCATATGTTAGTTTGCATCATGCAGATACCTAAAAGCAAAACTACCAACTCTTTAGAGAAGGATATTGAAATTCCTTATTACTAATTTGTGAATATTAGCTCTTATTTTTTAAAGATAGTTTCTGTGTGTCCAACCTTTGATGAAATGATATCCTTATAATCCAATAATATCTTTGGAGTTTCTGTCCTGTTCTGAACTCCCTCCCTGGGTAAGAAGAGAAGAGAAATCGTCTAAAAAGGGAAAATGACCATAGTGTTTGATTCTTGGATGGCCTATTTTCTTTTTAATAAGCTTCTCCTTGGATGGCTTCTCACCCATATTTCAGTTGGTCCGAAGGCTTCTGGAGCAAACTTCTTGTGCATTACTAAATGCGTAGTGGTTGCATCTTGTGCAATCTAAAATGCGAGAAATTTTTATATGTCAATAAGGTACCATGTGGTTCTACCTTTCACTAATCACAAATGTATATGTCCACTATTGTTCCTCAAACACTCAACATAAATGTAGTGGACCCTACTGTCAAGGCCAATTACAATAATAGAATGTAGCACATGGCATGTACTTTGTCCGCATACAAAAATTTCTCCAAAAAGGCATGTAGTTTCTTATGTATTAAAATATTTTCTTTACATTGATGCTTGATATATTTAGAAGCTTCTTGTAACAAGTCTCAAACCTCCATTCTCAAATGAATCTCACTTGATCATTGTAATTGCTATACTATTTGAAGTGTGACCTAAACTATGTTCATGATCATTTACAATGTTGATGGAATCTACTCAGTAAAGTATTCCATACTTGTCATCAATTCTTTTAGATTCTCTACGCACTTGATGGCAATTTTTTCAACCAAAGTTGACATTTTATCATATTTTCTAACCACTCTAAATTAATAGTTTGCAGAAAGGCATGGATGGTTAGTATAAATGACCTAAAAAAGAATTATCAAAATGCAGAAACATCACTTGAGTATTGTGTTTTGAGAACAATAAATTTACCTTTTTGGCCCTAAAATTTGTAAAATGGTAGGTCGTTTATGCTTCTAATAAAAAAGAGTATACAAGTGATCAATTTAAATAATCTAATTAATTTACATTTTTTTCCACAACCTTTTCATTTCAACATTTGACCCATTCCTTGCATGGGCCTTTTTTATACTAGTATATTATAATATTATAAGTGAACCATGATTCGCATAAGTAGTTGTAGAATACCAAACCTATCCGATATCTTGCTTCTTTTTTTTTTTTTTTCATAAGGATTTATATATATATATATATTGTGGTTTTTCTTCCAACTTCTGTATATTTTCAACTTAATTTGTTTATTTATTTTTCTTTGTTTGTTATGATTACACAATTTGAGATGTGATTTTAGAATTTTAGTTATTTTTTCCTAATTTTACGGTCGAACAGTTTCAATACTTGTGTTTGTGCTTCTGCTCACGAGAGATTATGTTTCAGATGGGACCAAATCAAAGATCTGAGAAGATCCTCTCTACTCTCCAATCCAAGAAAAATTCTTCTTAGAGGAAGGTATCAAAACCTTTTCCCAAGCAAATCTTTCAGAATTTAACTGCGAAGAATTATTCCAGACTGAGCTACTCCCTGCAGAAAAAAGAGATGATGAACCACTTGATGATCGACTCCCTCTCTTTGTCGGCTTGAGCAAAACCTGGAATTTTTGTGTTTTGGAATTAATTTTGGGTTGATTTGTAGGGGGGGTTTTATGTCAGAAATAATAAAGTTAATTTCAGAACTGAATTGATGTATATGAGATGAACTATTTCCATGGATTGTGGGTGCTTGATGCCACTGAGACAAAAAATTATATGAGAAATACTAGAGGGAAGGGAACACTGATGCCCTGTTTGATTCCAGAATATAAAGGATGAGATTAGATATTATATGTTGTGGGGTCTATTTATCTCATGTTTACAATTGTTTTTTTAAAGAGGATATAATATACTATGGGATTGTGTATCTTTTAAAATTAGAGGATATACAATACCACCATCCCCCATTATATCATATCCCCTAAGTTGGGATATGATTTAAAATGTCCAATTTACCCTCTAGTCTACCTAATTTTTGAATTTAATATAATATATATATTTTTTATTATCAGATTAACATTAATATAGTATAATTTCTTTTTTGTTTGGAAAAATTATTGAATTTAATATGAATCTTTAATTATAAAAAATAATATGAATTTTTAATTTATTTATTTGCATTAGTTTTGAATTTTGAATTTGTTTGTTTGCATTAATTCCAATATGGGTATTTAAAATATATTATGAGGGCAATCTTGAAAATTATTTGTTTATATCCCATGATATATTCTGTAAAACAAATATAGATAATATATATCCAGTTTTATATAAAAGTTACCAAATATGAATTGGGAGATATATTATACAATACATATATCCTATTCATTATATATTTTGATTAAATTTTACATCATATTATATCTTTCATTTTATATCCAGTGAAATAAACAGGGTCTAATTTTCTCCTTGCTTAAACCAGGTACACAATTATGAAGTTTAAGGCTCAAATCCATTTGGAGTGGTTTTTTAAGTATATAGAAGCCCCAACGTGGATTTGGGTTTTACTAGCTAGTTAGGCCCATTTGAAATTCCCATAGGTGGCCCATTTTGGTTTGATCTCCCTAACACCCCAAAAAGGTTTGATCTCCCTAACACCCAAAAAAAAAAAAAAAAAAAAAAGGAGTTAGTTTAATTATTTGAATTTGTAAATTGTATAAAAAAAAATTTTCAAATTCTAAGAAAAATCAGTATAATTTACAAGGAAAAAAAAAAAAAAGATTGTGATGAATTTTTTGTTGGTTGAGTACCATTGATGTATGTAACAGATGTCATGAAATGCACGTACAACAATATTGTCAATCAAAGTCTAATTAATATTAGAATAATGCTTGGGACCCCTTTTGGGGGTCACTCCCTCACCCCCCTTTGCCATGTGGCAGGGGGTGATTGGAGGAACAGGAAAAAAAAGAAAAAGAAAAAGAAAAGGTAACCAATGAGAGAGAGAGGATCAAAGGGGTGGGGGGAAAAGAGGATGAATCATTACTCTTAATATTAATGAGTTGTTGATGAGTATCATCAAACCCTTGACCTCTCATATTTTATAACACAATGTCACCAGGTTTTTGTATATTTTATTATGCATTGTTGGCCCACATAGTTGATGTGTCTGTCTTAGATTGGCTCCCACAACCATGTGTCTTTAAGAAATAAATAACACTGGCCATATTGTCACTCAAAAATTAAACTAAAAGTACTAAAGTCTTACTTTTTAACCGATAATAATCAGTAACAATTGATCATAAAATAATTTTTAGTAAGCCATAGAGAAGGCTGACTTTCAAAATCAAACAAATTCAACAATCAAGGGTTTGTAAGGTCTATTGTGAGTTTTTTAAAGTGCTCAGTATATATTTTTGGGTAAGTAATGCTCAGTATATATTATTAATGAAAAATATTAGATTGGTTTAATATATATATATATATATTTTTATAGAAAAAATGTTATATTACATAAATAAATTCATACACAACATAAAATGTCGAAGTAGACTCAACATACATTACAAATGTATAATTATTCAGTAGAGCATGGACATATGATATTTTATAATATTATGATTGGTGGAGAAGGTGAATAGGTGGTGTATTGTATTGGGTGATTGAGGAATGTGAGGGGATATATTGAGAGATAATTGGTTAGGAAGTACAAATATGTGGTACTCCGGAAATATTTAATAATTTCCCATTACAAAATCATAAAATTATTGGATGAAATTTTTGGCCTTCCCAAAATAATCAATTTATATTGTCTAATTTTAACCATTGAAATTTCTCAAATAATTTCTGTAATTCATATCATGTGTGTTATAGTATGACCATCAATTTATTATATGGAAAACTTACATAAATATTCATAAACCAAATTATGGGATTTATAATTTTACCGAATTATTCAACCCAATCAGCTGTTAACTTCTAAAACTCTGAAGATTGATAGTTTCGTTTCAATTATTTAAATCGTTCATTTATTAGATCATTTGTGCATATTATTTACACAAAATTAAGTTAATTGAATAATCCATAACTTAACTTATTCAATTTATCTTTAAAAAAAATAATAACTTAGACAAGAATTCTTACATGATTTATAATGTTACCTCATCAATTCACACTGTTTATCCATTCACACGAATTCTATTCCTACATGAAGTCAAATAGGTTGTTTGGGAAGTACACATTATCTATATATATGCAGACAATTGTATTACCATTCCTTCTCACTACTCTCTTCATACGTAAAATTCTATTTCCCTCACCAATTCATTGTCTCTTCATACATAGAATTCTATTTCCCTCACCAATTCATTGTCCAAGAAGAGAAAGAAAAGGCGAGAGAACTCATCATGACAATCCCACTCGGCTTTAAGTTTTTTCCGTCTGATCAAGAGTTAATTCATTATCTTCTCCAAAAATCGACCGCAAGACCTTTGCCTTGTGACAATGTGATTAAGGACTATGACCTTTACGGCGAAAAAGAGCCTTCGACGATATTTGATGGAGCAGAAGCGAATATTCATTATATTTTTACTATATTGAAGAAGAAGACTAAAAAGGGTGCCCGGGTTGATCGAACGGCTGGGACAGGAACGTGGAAAGGCGTCGATGCAAGCAAGCCTATATATGATGGCAATCGGAGACTGATAGGGTCTAAGAAAAACTTCGTATACTTGACAAAGTCTAAGACCAAAGGAGGATGGAATATGGTAGAATACAATCTAGAAGGCATAGCAGAGAAACATGCACTCAAACTTGGAAAGGTAATTATTTTTTTTCCTCTAACCCTAATATGCAAGCATGCACTACGTAATATATGTTGTAAAGATTTATATGACTTTGTTGGTTTCAATTTTATTTTATTCGGTTGTGTTTTTTTTATTTGTTGTTTATGTTTCGATCGGTTGTAATAGCGTTGGTGGATCTCGGAGGAGTCCTGCCTTAGTTGTTAAACATGAAGAAACAACAATTATCTCTCAATTTTGTAACCTAAGGATGAATTAAAAATTGTGCGTTAAATATATTCTTTTTTCTTTTCTTTTCTTTTTTTTTTGTGTCAAAACACTCACAACTATCAAATAGGAACAAAAATTTTGAAATACAATCTAACAATTGTGAATTTTTCAAGAGAATGAGATAAAGAGATTTGGATAAATGCAGAAACGTATTGTGATAATGGTGGATGGCCGTTGACAGTTCGTAGGGGGAATGAGGGTTGTAGTTTAACTAGACTTATTAAGCTCAAGAGACTTTTCTATTGGATGTCCCATTTTGATTTAAATTCTTTTTTTCTTTAATCTAACTTTTGGTCATCTTCTTGACTTGTTATTATGATTATTATTATTATTATTATTATTATTATTTGTGTAAATTTTCCAAATGTATTGATTAAATTCCCGTGCTAAGCATATGTGTGAATTGCCGTCTTTATGATTGCGATGTATCATTTATGTTTATATTAATTGGTATCATGCATGGTGTAAAAATATACAACTACATGACCTATTAATTTAACCAAGTTTAATTAAACACTCAATTGGAGTCAAGTTAAACAACACTTGCACTTTCTAATTTCTGCAAAAAATGTAAATAAGAATTTGGTTAGATTAGTTCAATCAAATTTAGTTTCTAATTTTGTTTTCTTAAAAAAAAAATTATATAAATTGAATATCGATTTAAATCACTTGTTCATTCTGTGCAGGTCACAGATTATGTTATTTGCCGCATCACAAAAAATGCAATTAGCAAAAATCGAATCAGGGAAGAGGGTCAAGTAATGTTGCGAATGCCAGAACAAGAAGAAATGGAAGGAGGTCCACCAATATCAAAAGAAATTAATAATACGACTATTAGGTCAACAAGTGGAGCATATCAAGTGGTGGAGTATCTAGACAACAGAGCATACGTGGATATTTGGACCCGGTGGCACAATTTGGAGGGAATAAGCCCTGAGCTAGGAAAGAGAATGGGATCTCTCTCTCTCTCTCTCTCTCTCTCTCTCTCTCTGTGGCACAATTGGGAGGGAATAAGCCCTGAGCTAGGAAAGAGAATGGGATCTCTCTCTCTCTCTCTCTCTCTCTCTCTCTCTCTGTGGCACAATTGGGAGGGAATAAGCCCTGAGCTAGGAAAGAGAATGGGATCTCTCTCTCTCTCTCTCTCTCTCTCTCTCTCTCTGTGGCACAATTGGGAGGGAATAAGCCCTGAGCTAGGAAACAGAATGGGATCCACACATATGAACGACATTACCATGCCACAAAGGAAGAGAACTCTTGGCCCTACCACTCCTAATAGGAAAGAGAATACTGAATGGTAGAAATTTTGATCTTACGTATAGAAAAAAGAATACAACGTTAACAATTGCAGAAGCAATATCACATGTAATGTAACCTGCTAAATCATAGATGCCATTTAGAATGTTACACAGCAATGACAATATAAAAGGAAGGTCAAAAATGTGAAACGTTGTCCTGTCTGCACAACAGCCACAAAGCATGCTTTCCCAATTCAAAGGATAGCGCATGAGCATGAATTCTGCTTATGATTCTTCTCCTGGTTCTTGTCTGCATTGTGTACCCAAAATGAGAGCAGAAAAATTAATATTGTAATGGCAAATTTTAGAAACTCTAATGGTTGCCATAGAAACAGATACTTCAAACAAAAAAGTAACAATTGTGACAATACAATGAGTAGACATATAATAAAATCCATTTTCAAAATTAAAAGATTTCACTACAATACAGGAGACAATTGGCTCAAAAATTCATACGCTACATGTATTTCCTTGCCCTACTCCAGACGGTTTCACAATTACAAGCTTCGTAAATTAAATGGTAACAATACTCTGTTCTGTTAAAGCCATTGAAAACTCTACCTCTAGAAATCTCTGAGCACATAAATAGACTCATTAGGATAGTAAAGATAAATGCTTAGTTAGTCATGCCAGAGGGTCACAAGTTACATTGACACTCGTGTAAAAACAAATAGTTAGCAGCATCTTAATGTAACAAACTTCTTGATCCATGCTTATAGGCATAACATAACTATTCTATGAGATTAGTATTTCTATCCTAACAAGTCTAATTAGAAGAGATAATATAACGAATATGATGAAAATTTGAAGTCATTAGATTGAGTAATGCATGCATGTTTATCATCTTTGTGTTGCGGATCGTGGGCACACCAGGGGACACTCACAAGCAAAAACACAAGAGTTTTAACGTGGTTCGGCAAACCGGCCTACGTCCACGGGAGCGATGTTGTTATATATCAACGAATGGAGGAGATTACACACTCTCAACTCACTGTCTCTCTATATAACACACTCACTCACACTCTCTGACAAACAGAAAATAGCTCTCACTAGCTCTCTCTGTTTTGTGCCTTTCTCTCAGCAATGTGTTTTGCCATTTGCCCTTTTCTACAACTCACCATCACCATTCCATTTTATACACCTTGGAGTAGGTGGGAGTGCCATTGGGTAGCCTCCATGCTTGACTTCGGCAGCCTCCTTCTTTGACATGGTTGGTAGCCTACTTCCTTGTTGACCAACCAAGGTGTGTTCACAAGACAATTTCCCCTTCACATGGGGTGAATTCAACACTTTGAAGTATGGGTTCCAAAATGAAGATCCTTAAAAGAATTAAATGGGGTGAATTACACTAACGGTCCCTATAGTTTGAAACTTGTATCATTTTGATCCCTGACTTTTCAATTGTGACACATTTGAACCTAAATTTTGAATCTTGTTCCAAATAAGGACAATTGAATATACTATTGGATTTTTCAAGGACAAAATTGTTAATTTGATAAAATATAAATTAATTTGACAAAAATAAATGTTAAAAAATTATTTTTGAATTTTTAAAAATTATTTCTACCTACTAAAGATAAAATTATATAAAATCGATAAATCTTTTAGACATTTATTTCCTTTTTTTTATCAAATTAATTTTTATTATGTATTTGGATGATGATCATGTAAAATTAATTTTTTAAAATTAATCATGTAGTTTTTATTAATTTTACATAATTTTATTTTTGTCAAATTAGTTTATATTTTATCAAACTGATGATTTTGCCCTTGAAATTAAGCAATTGTATGTTAATTGTCCTTATTTGAAACAAGATTCAAAATTCAGGGTCAAATGTGTCATAATTGAAAAGTTAAGGACTAAAGTGACAGAAGCCCTAAACTATAGGGACTGTTAGTGTAATTTGTCCAATTAAATATTATCTGATAACTTTATATTAGATTGAAAATTAATTCATGCTAATTCTCAGGGTAAAGCTATCCAATAATTGAAACCAGGTACTAGTTCTCACTAAGGTCCCTCACTAAAAACTACTAGTAACTTCACAGTTATGTTATGCCTATAAGCTATCCAATACCCCTGAGTCTGCACCTGTAAATGATAGAAATAGGATACCCAAAATAAAGAGGCATTTCTTGCTGCTATACTCTCGAAAGTCAAAACTTGATTGAATTAACCCTGAAAATTTTCTTAAATCTAAAATTCTACATGAAATATATATATATATATATAAATCTCAGGGAAAAGAAACTAAAACAAACCTGTCTTCTTTTTTGGGACAGGAGGCTGCACCACAACATGCATAGTACTAACGCCACCAGGAAGGTCACCAAAATGTACTCTGGATTTTGCCAGCGTCTTGCCATTCTCCAAAACTTTGCCAGCATGTATGAGTTTTATATCAATTACTGACTTGGGTACAACTGATTTATCTGTTAAACAGAAGGCCACTTTAGAACTGAACCATTTAGCATTGAAAGTCAAAAATACAAAGTGGGTCTCAAAAACGAGTTAACATGCCTGTGAACATGTGATGCACCCACACTCGGACATGCATATGCATAGAGTGTATAAACATTTCACGAACTAATGCATTACTTGCTAACGGAAGTCCATGGATGTGATTTTTAAAACAGTTCAATGAGTTCATCAACAGATGTCCTTGGAAAGATGTCCAAAAAAAGCAAGAATCATAAGGTCCAGCAACATATACACCCATGGAAGAGATAAAAAGAATTACAATCTATAAATTGAATGGAAATTCTTCTCCAATACAAAAGAATAGGAAAAAAAAAAGGAGAGAAGAAAAAAACAAAATGAAATCAAAGATCAATAACGCAATAGATCAAATTTCAACATTTTCAGGTTATAATCAAAATTTTCCTTCCTCTTCCCCAAAGATTATGCGTTGAATACATTGTAGAACCTAAAAACTCATACAATACTGCACTTCCATGTTACAAGACACTAACTCCAATGGCACTTTATAATTTTAAAATTTTGCCAAAACATCAATATAATCCGATAAGTAACACTCGAACTAAAGATTGTTCATACTTTATTCTAACTAACTATTTTCTTGTCTAATAAAATGGAAACAAACTTTTATCAATCTGGTGTGAGCTTTATGGGCGGGTTACACCTTCCAGAAGAAAGACATTTTTCTTAGGCCCCTTCCCCCTGCCACCCACCCACATGCATGCCAAGAGAGACGGTCTAAACGTAGTGGGTTTTAATTGGTAAACCTCTGCCAAAACGTCTTCCTAAAATGCATGAGAAAGAAACGGAATAAATAGAAAGATAACTTTTTTTTTTTTGATCGGCAAAGAAAAACTTTATTGATGAAAGCAACCAAAAAAGATAGACTACATCAATAAAGAGGAGCTTGGAGCTAACACAAAGCTCCAAGCGCCAGTTGGTGAGAAACCAACAAAAAGAGAACAAAAGAAGCCGAAGAAAAAAACACAAAAACCAGAAAGAAAACAACTAAATGCTCTCAGTCTTTTGAGCTTAATCATGATTCTAAAACTAGCCCATCCCTGAATTTGTGCCTCCTCCCAGACCTTTTCCACTTCCTTCTTAAACTGAGGATGTGATGTCCAAGCATTAATAAATCGAAAAGGTTTTGGCCCCCAATCCCTTCCATCCTCTATAAGCAAAAATGGACAGTGATCTGAAATGACTTTAGGCAATCCCCATTGTTTAAATTTATTCCTCTCCAGCCAAACAGGATCCAGCAAAAACCTATCAATCATACTCCACCTCTCCCCATCCAATGCATTACACCATGTGAATAATCTACCATGCATATTCAGATCAATTAATTCCAAGCTCTCTATAAAATTATTAAAGTCTTTCATACCCCTTTCCCTTCTTGAGCAACCTTTCCTTTCACTCATAACTCTAATCTTATTAAAATCACCACCCAGACACCAAGGGTTAGGATAAGAGAGTTTAAGATTTATAAGACTCTCCTAAAGTTTCCTCCTCTTCAATGCACCAGTCGGGGCATAAATATTGCAAATAACACAATGAAATGATTGAGATAAGATACTTGAGAGAAGAATGAAGTTCCTAGAACTGCAGCAGTCTATCAATTGAAAAGTTTGGGTGTTCCAAATGCAAAGGAGGCCACCTGCACTTCCTTCTGAACGCACCTCCATAAAACCCATATCATCCACAGGCCATAAGGACTTAACAAAATTACCATCAATATCTTCTCTCTTAGTCTCCTGCAGCATCAAAACATCTACTAATTTTGCTCTCACCAATGCCGTAATTCTACTCCTTTTTCAGGTCGTCTAAGACCCCTAACATTCCATGACATGATCTTCATTAAAAAACCTTCAACGCAGCATCTATTCTCCTTCATTTTTCCAGCAACTTAATCTGTCTTTACCCTTCCTTTAACTCTTTCCAAATCTTTCTCCTCCAGCTCCATTATTTTGGCCACCACTTCCTCTTCCTTCCCTTCACAGTTTAGCCCTAATGCCTTCCCGACCTCAATCGTAGCTTGGGCTTCCTTAAGTATCTTTCTTCTCCTTTGGGAACTGCTGCTTTGTGACGCTTGTAGAGACATAGCAGCTGCTGCCGCTCGAAGGATCACTCCACCTCTGAGACAGTTGCTGAATAGGATCCCCTTCTGTTTTGGTTGGCCACCCTACTTCATTCTTTCTTTCCCCTTTTCACTGGCTTTCCTCTTCAGATCAGACTTCCTTTTTGATCTAGCCTGAGCTTGCTGAGATGGGCCCCCCTTCTCGTGATTAACTTTCTGGGCTACAGCTTCCCCTACCACCATAAACTGTGACTGGGCTATGCAGTCACTTAAATTAGAATTAACTTCCCATCTTGGCCCATTAATTATAAGCTGAACTTGGGCTCCATGTAACACAACTTCTAAATTTATGTTGGGCCTGCCACACTCCAACCCAGTTGAACTATACATAATACCTTCATTACATTCCAGATTTTCCACCCGTTGCTTTATCCCATTCTCCACAGTCCTTGAGCAGACCGCCTGCACCATTCTTTCTTTCCTTAGAACACGCTCAGTTACTTTATCAGCTACTCCAGACATACAATGATAGCCTCCATCCACAGCTACTAAAGCTCTTTCGGCTGTGTGTGTTCCATTGATTGACACGTCATCAGTTTGTGCCACATCCTCATCATTGTCCTCCTCTGCAACTGAACCGACTTCACCTTCATCCCCACCTTCAACACCATTACCAGCTACCTCTGGATGAACATGATCAACTTGACACCTGCATTTGGACAAGTATTCACTCTCATTGTTCATATTGGATTCCATTACTTCATTTTTGTGGCAGCTATAGTCACCATTGCATTGACAGATACTGACTAACGGCTCTTCAAACACTCGCACTTGATAATCCCTCACATTTCCTGCTAGATTAATTACCGTATTGATGGGCTCCATCCTTTTTGTAATAATCCTAACTTTGCCGAACATAAAGTGTTTGCCTCCCACTGTATCTTCATCATACTGCACCACTTCTCCCCATACCTTGCCAATGGCTTCAAAAGTTTTGATACTCCAGAGATTGAGAGGAACTCCCATACAAGTGAGCCAAATACACCTTTCACATTCCAAAAACTTCCCTTCTTCCCATTCAACTACTGCATCACTCCAGTCATGTCAGGCCTCAAGATTAATTTTCATAAAAGTATTGTTTGTGGTATTGGAGTGGAAGAGGAGTTAGTTAAGGACTTTGCTAATAACCTGAATTGCCTCAGTTAGAATCTACCTTTGTCATATCTTGGCTTACCTTTAGGGGCCAATCCAAGGAATAAAAGTACTTGGAAACCAGTGATGGAGAAGTTTAAAAAGAAATTAGCATCTTGGAAGAGGAGATTCTTGTCCTTTGCCGGTAGAGTGACCCTAATTAAGTCTGGATTGTCAAATTTTCCAGTGTATTTTCTATCTATCTTCAAATTGCCTATTGGTGTTGCTAAAACAATTGATAGGATCCAATCAAACTTCTTGTGGGGCGGTTCGGAAGTTCAAAGGAAAATTCACTTAGTACAATGGAAAGAGGTGTGTAAAAGTAAAGCCCAAGGGGGGTTGGGTGTGAGAAGTCTCGGTGATGTCAACGTCTGTTTAATGTTAAAATGGTGGTGGATGTATGGTCATCAACAACAGTCACTATGGAAAATTGTGGTATGTAGCAGATATGGTGGGATTGGGGGCAGGTGGAAACCAGAAACAGTGTCAGCTGTAATGATATCTACAATGTGGAAGGACATTGCATCATTAGCTTCAGTAAACAGTGTAGTGGCAGAGTTTTTCTCACAAAACTTCAGGATTGTTTTGGGTAATGGGGAAAGGATTCATTTTTGGACGGATGTAGGTTCAATAATATGAGTCTTAGGAATGAATTTCCTAGACTGTTTAGTTTATCAGTGGAGAAGGAAGGTTCCTTGCAATTTTTTTACCAACGGAAAGGGCCGGGCAGTGATTGGAAGTTGGCATTTAGAAGATCACTTTTAGCTTAGGAGGAGGAGGAAGTTCATAGGCTAAATGTATTACTAGCAGAGGTACCTATTCTAAATCCTCTAACTGAGGATAACTGTTTATGGAGAGCAAGTAATTCTGGACTATTCTCTGTGGCATCAGTGTGGAAAAGGTTGGAATTAGTTAATGGATCCACAGTTTCCATTTCAAAGTTCCTGTGGAAAAATGCAGCCCCCCCGAAGGCTCAGTTCTTCAGTTGGTTAGCTTGGAAAGGGAGACTCAAAACAGCAGAATTCATGCAAAGGATTGGAGCTATACCTGCCAATGTCGGCCCACTATGTGTATTTTGCAAAGCAGAGGTAGAAACCATAAATCATGTGTTGCTTTTATGCCCATTGGTATGGAAGTTATGGTCTGAGTTGGTAAACTGGTGGGAAGTGCAGTGGGTAACACCAGGATCTATGGTTATTTTGCTTGATTGGTGGTCTGGTATGAAATTCAGGAAGAAGGAGTTCAATATTTGGAAGGTGGTCCCTTTGGCCATGCTTTGGTCCTTATGGAAACTCAGGAATGAATGCTTATTTAACAATGGTAATGCAGATTTTGCACAGGTAGTAGAGCTAATGAAAGTAAGAATTGCATTATGGATCAAGTCATATGTTAAAGGGGTGAATTACACAGTGCATGATATTGTCGCAAATTTGAAGCAGGTGAGAGGTTGTATCACATAGGGTTTTGGTTGCTCTGTCATTATGCAGATTGGTAGTAGTGTGGGAAGTAGCAGATTTGTTTGTAGTAGTCTGGTCTGAAGCTCTTTCTCTGGTTCCAGTGAAGCTCCTTTAATAGATGGGTATTTTTGGCTGTTCTGTCAATTTGCAGATTGGTAACAGATGGGTTGAAGCAGATTGGTTTCTATGCAGATTGGTTACAGAGTGGTATGTAC